CCCGTGGCCTAAACAGAGGCGCTTGCCTAGTGGGTCACTTTGAATTTTGTAGGCAACATATTCCTCATTTGGATGTGTTACTCTGGCCCATTTACCAAGTGACCCAAAAAGTTGCTAGTTTTGAGTGGGACCCAGAACAAGAGAAAGCTCTGCAACAAGTCCAGGCTGCTGTACAAGCTACTCTGCCACTTGAGCCATATGATCCAGTCGATCCAATGGTGCTTGAAGTACCTGTGGCAGATGCAGATACTGTTTGGGGCATTTGACAGGGTCCTATAAGTGAATTGCAGCCCAGATCTTTAGAATTTTGGAGCAAAGCCCTACCATCCTTTACAGATAACTATTCTTGTTTTGAGAAACAGCTCTTCCCTACTACTGAACTTTAGTAGGGACTGGATGCTTGACCATGGGTCACTAAGTTACCATGTGACCTGGGCTGCCTATTATGAACTGCATGTTATTTGAGCCTTATGTGGAGTTTCCTCCCCACAGTTAACAGAAAAAGAAGAGTCGGGTCTGGTTTACAGATGATTCTGCATGATATACAGCTACCACCCAAAAGTGATCTGCTACCGCATTACAGCCCCTCTCTGGGACATCCTTGGAGGAAAGTGGTGTGGAGAAGTCTCCTGGTGGGAAGAACTTTGAGTAGTTCCCCTGGTTGTTCAATTTGCTTGGATGAAGGAATGGCCAGATATGCAATTATATACTAATTCATGGGCTATGGCCAATGATTTGGCTGGATGATCAGAGATATGGAGGGAACATAATGGGGAAATTGGTGACAAAGACATTTTGGGGAGAGGTATATAGACAGACCTCTCTGAATAGGCAAAAAAACTTGAAGATATTTGTGTCCCATGTGAATGCTCACCAAAGGGTGACATCAGCAGAGGGACATTTTAATAATCCGGTGGATAGCGTGACCCGTTTTGTGGATATCAATTAGTCTCTTTCCCTAGATACCCTTGTCATGAACAAAGTGGCTACAGTGGCAGGGAGGAAGGTTATGCATGGATTCAGCAACACAGACCTCCACTAACCACGGGTGGCCTGGCTACAGCCACTGCCGAGTGACCAATCTTCCACCAACAGAGAATAGCACTGAGTCCCTGATATGGCACCATTCCCAGCGATGACCAGCCAGCCACCTGGTGGCATGTTGATTACATTAAACTGCTTCTATTATGGAAGGCATAGCGTTTTGCTCTTACTGAAACAGATACATACTCTGCATACGGGTTTGCCTTCCCTGCATGCGATGCTTCTGCCAAGACTGCCATCCATGCACTTACAGAATGCCTAATCCACTATCATGTATTTCACACAGCATTTCTTCTAACCAAGAAAATCATTTCTCAGCAAAAGCACCACAATGGGTCATGCTCATGAAATTTACAGGTCTTACTACGCCCCCCCACCATCCTGAAGATGCTGGTTTGATAGAATAGTGGAATGGCCTTTTGAAGACTCCGTTACAAAACTAGCTAGGTGGCAATACCTTGCAGGGGGTGGGGTGAAGTTCTTCAGAAGGCTGTATATGCTCTGAATCAGCTCTTAATATACAGTGCTATTTCTCCCATAGCCAGATCCTCAGGTCCACTATATCCCTAAGAACATATTAGCAAAATGGTTGCTTCCTGTTCCTGTGACTTTATGATCCTCTGGCCTGGAAATCTCAGTTCCAGAGGGAGGAATGTTTCCACCAGGAGCCACAATGATTCCATTGAACTGAACGTTAATATTGCCACGCAGCCACTTCAGTGTCCTCATGCATCCAAATCAACACTCAGAGAGTTACTATGCTGACAAGCAAGGGGAAATTTACAACTCCTTTACTTAGGTTAGGAAGAGCATGTCTGGAATATAGGGGATCTAGTAAGGCATCTCTTCCTATTACTATGCCCTCTGATTAAGGTCAATGGAAAACTGTAACAACCCAATTCAGGCGGGAAAACTAATAAGCCAGCTCCATCAGGAATGAAGGTTTGGGTCATTCTACCAGGGAAGAAACTGCATCCAGCTGAGGTGCTTGCAGGAGGCAAAGGGAATACAGAATAGGTGGTGGAAGAAAGTTACAAACACCAGCTACAACCTCATGACTAGTTACAGAGACAGGACCAGTAGCTGTCATGAGCATTCCTCCTTATTTTGTTATAAACATGTTTGTGTGTGATGTGGCTGTGTTTATATACTAACAGCTACACACAAATATACAGGCATGCAGTGTTCTGTTGCACTGAGCTTTATTGTGCTCTACAGATGTTATGTTTTTTACAAATAGCAGTAGGTCTTGAAGTCAAGACCCCCCACCAGATAAAAAGTTACCACTATTTATTGCAAAACTGACTTTATTGTGGCAAAATAGAACCACACAATCTCTGAGGCATGACTATATATAAATACAAATATGTATATGTACATATACATATTTGTAAATATATACAAATATAAACACATATATAAATATTTATATCAGATATTTACATTGTCTTCCCTCTCTTATTCCCTTATCGTATAAGATGGAGGTTCCTCAAAAAATTAAAAGTAGAACTACCTTTTGACCCAACAATCCCACTCATAGGCATTTGTCCAAAGAAA